AGAAGTTTCTTCCAGCCTGAATGACTGCAGAAATAGACAAAGTTATTCTTTGCAGTTACACATACAGGACATGATCATTTCTTCAGACAGTGTTTAATACTTCCCCAACAAAGTGATTCAGATCTCTGTCCTGTCCTTCCATCTCAACGACATTAGTGCATTTAAAAAAAGAATAATTCTTAACTCAAGACAACACACTATCTTCATACACATTTTTACAGACATTCTGAGATGTACGTGAAAAATCTTAATCTTGGAAGGACTGCTATATTCAGAACTACATGTCAGTCTAAGAAGCGCTCCCAACTTTCTCATTCTTATTAAAGAATTTCCTCAAAATGTTATCAAAGTGTAACCATGGAGTTTAACCTCATCTTTGTAAAAACAATTCCTTCCACACCATTACACACAGTTACATTTCACTTGAGGAAAAAATATTAACTTTCGTAGCTTTGATAGTATGGTAAATTAAACACCAGATATGCTTAAAAAGTAACTGAGTTACTACCCATTTAAGTATTAAAGGTTTTTCAAACTTTCATCAGATCCTGCTACAGCATTTCCAGTTCCATTTAGCATTTAAATACAAATAAGAACCAGGATGCTCATAGGGTCCTTCTGTGAGACACATTATCAAAGCTGCACTTTCGCACAAAGTGTACACTGATGAACTACAAAGAAAGAACGTTAGGACACTTGCAAGACTTTACCTTAAGTTTACCTTATAGATTACATTGCAATTATACCCAGAAAAGGTTATTCAAATCTGGCTCCGACTCATCTATGGTCTCCAAGTCTCATTCAGCACAATTCTAAAAGTCAGAATTCAAAATCCTTTCAAAATTAACGATTTAGAGCCCAGGAACTGCTTTAACACATGTAAAGATTTTAGAAAAGTAACATTTTTTCAGTCAAAAATTCTGCTAATGTTTCCAAAACAGTTACAGGAGAAAGGTTTATATTTGTGTTAAGGAAGCACCTGAGCCTCCCACAGTGGTGGGCTTGTACGTCCAAGTGCAGTACGCTGTTAGCATACTACATTTTAAAGACAAAGTTCCACGAGAGAGAATGCATTTTACTGGCATAGCCTTTTCATTCCAAAGCACTGACTTTTCCTTTATCTGACAAAGCTACACTGCAGGGTTTAGGCGGTGTAAAACCTCAACCTTTATAACTTAAATGAGGTGTCACAACCTATAAATCTAAGAAGTTACAAAATTACCCAATGCACCAGGAGTACCAGGAAGCAATGAAGGCTCATTTTCAAAAATGGGACTACTTCCTCATCATAAGAGAAGTTTTTTTCCAATCACAGCAAGGTGACCCACTGTTAAACCCCACTTTTCTGAGCAAGTGAAACTACCAAGACATAAGCTTACTGAAAGAGGTGTGGTTCCTTTTTTTTTCAATACTGTTTGACAATTCCCATATTTACTATGTTCAGGAATGCAAGGGCTAATTTTGCATTAAAAAAATTCATGTGTTATCCTTTCCTAAGAGGATTCTCCCCTTTCCTCCCTGAAGGCATCCTCATTTTCTCAGCCTTTATGTTGAGACATACACAGCTATTTAACTTCTGTGCAACCAAACCTACAGTAAACATGTCCCTTCAAGTCACCAAAAATGAACTGCAGAACACAAGCTTTATGTTTTAAATAGTTTTAGTGTTGTTTTTCATTTGTGCTGTTGTTTGTTAACGAATATTTACATTAGCAAATGCAACATTTACAGTAAAATCAGTACCTTCCATCAGTCGTTGCCTATATTTATGTAGATAAATTGTACCTTTTATATTCACACTAATATACTCATTAAAAATATTTTTATATATATTTATTAGTTTGACACAGCCACAGGTAAGAAAACAATTTCTACAGAAACTGGAATAAAACTGAACTGCAAAAAATGGTTACTAGAATTAAATAAAACTACTTCAAATATCCTGAATACATAAAGAGGTTTTGCATTTAAAACTTGTTAAGTGAGGATGTATTACCCATAAGTAGGGCACAGAAGTGATGATTTTCCATTGCTTGAGAGTTCAGAGCTTCAAGATTTACAACTTTCACACCTAATTTTTATTTATAAACTGAAGCAAACATAAACTTATGTTTTCCACATATCCAAAAGTTTCTGAAATTTCAGTGACCTACCTGAATAAAGCAACTACAAAACACTGTGGCTCATAAAAACTGTCTTTAGCACTGAAAAATCACTGGTCCTGGATGCTAAAGGCAGTAACTCTCACTGGCAATAGCCCAACTTCAGATCTTTGGATCTACACAAATCTTACACAGCTTATTTACTTCAAATAGTTCTCAGATTTTTTTCTTTAAATGTTTATTCAAATTTATCCTCACACTTACTATCATTATTGAAAGAAAAGCAAGGCTTCAAAAATCTCACACTAAAATGTGAATCTAAGGAACAAGTTCAAAACCAGTTATGCAATCCTGAATATTGAAATCATACTCCTTCTGGCAACTGGCTCTTCTTCCTTGGTTTTACAGCTTCTTTACCTGAACTGTAACTCTCTGTTTTGCCATTATTTCAATTATGCCCCTTCTGTATTCTCAATTATGCTAAACACTGCCAGTTTTAAACTTGAATTATGCAACAGCTAAACACAGTCACCTTAAATCTAGCAAGAATATGCAAGTATATGCAACTGCTTACTGTCTTTGCAACACTTAAGTCTTTTGACTACACATGAAGTAAGATATGGATCCAAGACCTTCCAGAAGTTGTCATATCAAGGGGCTATATCACTCGATCTCCTACTTTCTTGTGCTCATACATCATTATTAGGAATCTGATACAAAAAAACTTCTGTTATTTGGTGCACCTTCTTCCCTCCTTGAATTTCAGAAGTTTTGACCAGGGCTCTAGTTATGCTTCTACTGAAATTAGCTACAAAACTACATCACCACCATCATCTGCATCAGCCTTCAACACTATCAGTTCTGTATCAGGGGAGAAAAGTATATAAAGGAGCAATGTGAATTATTTGCATGAAAAATCAATGTTTGCCTGTTTGCATCTACTCCTACATTTATTTATAGTCCCAGCTGGATGAGTGAGAAGGGCGTGCTTGTCAAATGCTATCCAGCTGATTTTTTTTTAGCTCAGTAAACTGAATGTTTCAAATAACATTTTTATTTTACAATGATACAACAACTTAATGCATCAGAAAAAAAATATTAAGGCATCACAAAATCTACAGAGATATTTGTCTGTTTTTCCACTAGTTTGCAGGTTACCCATCTTTGCTTTCTTAGCCAATAAAATACACTCTCAAACTTGGAAAATTCTACTCATATAGGCCAATCAATTATATACAGGACTGAAGCAGATAAGTAATCAATTTAAATTTACAATGGATGAGTGCTCATTCTATTTACTTATATCAAGACAGGAAGAGTTTCTAGAAGGCCTGCGCCCATTTTCAGAGAAAAAAACCCTGAAATTAGTGGGTGGAAGAAAGTTCAGAAAACTCCATCAGTCACAAAAGCACAGACCGTGCTTCAGAGACAAGATAAAATAGTCATTGTGCCTTTTCTTATTTGATGGGACAACAAGCATTGGGCACAAAATCAAACACAGGAGGTGCCATCTGAGCACCAGGAAACACTTTCTTACTGCAAGGGTGACCAAGTGCTGCCACAGGTCATCCAAGGAGGTTGTGGAGTCTGCGTCCTTAGAGATTTCCAAAAGCCATCTGCATGTAGTCCTGGGCATCCTGTAGATGACCCTACAAAATGACCTCCAGGGTCCCTTCCAACCATTCAGTGATGACAAGATAACTTGTAGTATAAGTATTTTCTGCATACCCTCTAGGTACAACATACTCGATCAGTATTACTTGTATTTTCTATAAGGGGCTAAAAGTAACATGGATTACCACCTATACTTCTTGATAAGATTACTGCTTGTACCAACACAGAGGCGGTATTTGAATGTGAATTACATAGAGGAGGGCACAGTCTTAAAACCTCTTGGGAAACAGACAACGAGATCCTGGTGCTACACATCCCTTGGCACATCAGTGCATCTCTAGTCACAAAAAGTGATCAAACAGAAAATCTGTCTTATTGTAACCACTTAAACAGTTTTGACATCCTTCTAACTTCAAACAAGTTTGAAATATCATTTATTGATGCCTCTCACATTTGTGTCACCTCACAGCTTCCACAGCCATGAAAATCTAAATTTTTAAAGTCGAAAGTGAACAAGATCATGCATTACATAAAGGCATTAGTAGTGCACCAGCACCATGTAGACAAAACACCACACCCTAGCTTGGAAACAGGCAGCTGCCATGAAGATGGATCCAACAGAGGATGACAAGGAGGAGTGATAACTGAGGTTTCACAAGACATCCTGCTCCTTGTGAGACTTTTCTGGAAAAATGTGCCTTAAATCTAAATTTCCAACTGCCACAAGAACAGATTATACATACATCTCTCTAACACAGGCCGTCTGCTCCTTGACGTTACGCTTCCCCAATTAATGCCTCCTAGCAGGAAGTAAAACAGCGTTCCTCACGCCCACACCCAGCTCCTCTCCGCAATCACCTGCTCCCCATGTCCTCCCGCAGCCCGCGAGGGTGCAGGGGGATGCAGGCCCGGTGCTCCGGCTGGCACGGGCACGGCGCTTTGGGAACGGGAAGTGGGGGTGGGGGGAGGGGAGAGCCCTTCCGCGTCCCTCCTGCCTCTCCGTGCCGTGCCCGCTCCCCGCACACGGGCCGGCACAGCGCCCGCCGCCCCCGGCGCCGCCCCCGCCGGGCCCGCACCGTACAAGGCGCGGCGGGAGATGCGGCCAGGCCAGCCGAGCCCTGCCCCGGCCTCCCCCGACCCCCCGCCCGCCAGGGCCGGCCCGGGGCCATGGCGACAACAGGAACCCGGGCCGAGAGCCGAGCTGGGCCCGCCGGCTCGGAGGAACGGGGGACAGGAGGGCGGCGCGGCTCAGCACAGCACCCTCACCCATCCAGACATCCCTACCTTCTCCTCGTCGGACAGCTGCTCCTCCAGGTCCGCCATCTTCCCGTCGGCTGCACCGCCCCCTCCCGGCTCCTCCTCCCGGGCAGGAAGGGCGGGACCCGCGCGCGCTCCCTGCGGAGGCCATGCCTGCGCGCGCGCGGGGCGGGTGGGGATCCAGGGGTGGAAGGGCGTGGTCGTCGCGGAAAGGGAGGGTTGTCGCCCAACTCAGATGGGGGCAGGCAGAACTGAAAATCACAGAATCGATTAGGTTGTAAAAGACGTCGGAGACCATCGAGTCCAACCTGTGGCCAAACACCACCATGTCAACTAGACCATGGCACGAAGTGCCACGTCCAGTCTTTCCTTAAACACCTCCAGGGCCAGTGGCTCTACCACCTCCCCGGGCAGCCCATTCCAATATCTAATCACCTTTTCTATGAAAAAATTCTTCCTAATATCCAATCTGAACCTCCCCTGGTGCAGTTTAAGACTATGTCCTCTAGTACCATCTCTAATTGCCTGGGAGAAGAGGCCGACCCTCACCTGGTTACAGCCTCCTTTCAGGTAGGAGGAGAATGTCCGGGTTTCAGACAGAGCCTTGGCAGGGTGCTCAGTGCGGATCAGTAGATGTGGGTGCTGAGGGCGAGGGCTGCGGGTTTGTCTGCAGCATCCCACAGGGTGCTGGGAGAGGTTGTGGGAAGCTCAGTCTGGTGTGACTGACAGTGACTGAGGAAACAGACTGTGTGAAATGATTCATACTGTCAAAGATTGGACATGGAATTTGGTCAGTGGGAGGAAACAGAAAAAAAAATAGATTGGGAAATTTTTACCACAAGACCGAGAAACGTGAAGTGTGTCATCCAGTGGTGTGACATTGCAGGTGCACAGGGGTATTCGAGATGATGACTCACAAGGATTGCCCGTAGTCCACTGATAACTCTTCGTAACATTTCAATGTCCAGCACAGTGCACTTCACCTCAGTTATGATAGACAAGGAAAAACTGATCATTGACTGGAAAATCACAGGTGTCAGGGTACGCCTAAAGTCAGTCATGGTTAGTGGAGTGAATGTAGCCAGCTTCTAGCCAAAGGATATTGTTATGCTATGCAGTTCATCCACTTCTGTCTTTCTTGTGTGTTTGTACACAAATCTTGTCACATGCAGTAGAACAAATTATTGCTAATATTTGTAGAATTTTTCAGGGCTATCACTCTAGATGCAGTAACAGGTCTGTTGCATGGAAATGAAGGAAAGTGATATTGGACAAAAAGTTATTACAGTCAAATGGATACACGGATGTGACAATAGCATCAAAAATCTATATATGAACAAAGGATGTAAATGAAAATAAGTCAAAATAATGAGTATATAGGTTGGACAACATGGCTGATTCAGGAAAGTCGAAGAGAGATTTAAAATTTCTGTAACTATGGAGTATAAAGGTAATGGACAATAGTTTATTTATGTCAGGAACAAAATAAAGGATGACTAAAGCTGATGTTTGATTAGGCCATTGCTAGATGTAGAGTGGTGAAATGTAGAACAGAAAAGGTACATCTAAGGGATATTTGGGTTTGGAATATCGCACATTTATTTTTTGGACTCAATAATAAAAGGTAATGGTCTGTAGCATGGAAAGGCATTGTGCAATGTTCTGTTTCATATAACAGGACTTTAACTTCCACCCAGGAGTCTGAAGAGTAATTAGCTGAGGAGGTCTGTGAAGTGCTCCTGTTAATTTTTAACACACCTTGGGATTTGCCATGAATGTTGCTTTATTTAATATTTATTAGGAGAATAGTTCAAAAAGGTAGATCTTATCAGATAAATGTGAATAGTTTTCTTATGAGTTAATATATTTGATGTACCATATTTAGACCAGTTTTTTTTCTTGGAAGTTTGCTGAAACTAGCATGATGAAGTGAATGATTCAGAGGACTGTGTAGTCATCGTAGAAACTGACGGGAATCTTCTGAATAGTATCCTCACAGGTGATTTACTGTGACCTTAGGACTTAATGGGAAATGAATAATCATGCAGAAATAAGTAGTGTTCTTGCCTTGTGACTCAGTATGTTGGAGTGCTTGTGTGTCTTTTCAGGAAGAATATGAAAATTTCAGAGGGATTTTAAAGGAGAACTAAAAGTAATCCTGGAGTTGCAAAGCAAATTTCAGGAGATGAGGCTTAAGGATGTCAAGACTGAGAAGTGACTTTGGAAATAGCAGTGATACACAACTTAGTTTGGAATTTATATGCATCTTATCTGAAGTCATATATCTTTACTTGTGATTTTAAATTGACTGCAGCCAATTTCCAAACAGTACATCTTCTCCTACTATAAAATTCACCTTTTTCTCATGTGCCAGTTTCTTTACACATTGATTGAAGCCTAATTTGCACTACAATTACTTACAGAACAACAAAACATCCTGTTGCTCCCTAGGTAACTCATGCCTTAGTAGATGCCTAGTCCCACTACATGAAGCTCAGTGTGGGCTAGCAGATCTGTCTGATGAGCAGCGTGTGGTTTACTGATGTAGTGAGAGAAAAACAAATGAATTAAACAAAACAAAAACCAAAACCCAAACAACAGCTACTGAGTTCTGCTGATCTGATCAGATATGACAGAGCTACCAATCATGTACCCTGCTATTTTGCTGTACTGTTTCTGTCATTTCTTTCTGTATTGACTTCATAGGGCCAGACCCCTGGCCCTTGAGTGCCATTGGGAGGGAGAGCACAGCACTTTTTCCTGCAAGATCTCCCTGCAGGGCTGTCAAAATGGCTTGAGAGAAGTGCAGTTTCTGTGCTAAAGCCATCCTGAAGACTGGCAAGGTGGTGATGGGGCATAGCACAGCACACCTCCTTTCTCCTCCTGCTCTGGCCCCAAAGGTTGAGATAAACAATGCAGAAAAAAAATAAAGTAAATAAATTGACATTTTATCTATTGCATCTGCTCTGAGGACAAACTGATGAGAAGTGTATTTGGTGCTTACTCCTTTAGATCTGGAGGATGTACTACACTCTTGTTTCCTAGGAAAAAGTGGACTCTGGTCAAGCTCTGAGTCCTGCTCAGATGGTGCTCCTGGCAGAGGGACAGAAGGAGTGGCCAGAAAGGTGTGGTAGGCTGTGTCCCTTGCTGCCTGCTCCTTTCCATGGGGAGGGTTTTCCTGCATCCTGATACCTGTTGGTATAAATCCTCACATTCCTGTGGGTTGATGGGAGGCATACTCCAATTCCTGAGATTCCCAAATATGTATCAGATCTTAGGGCCTTGGGCATTGCCTGTCAGTTTGTCTCCGTATTTTTGGGGAGTTGTTGTTTGCAAACCTCCCAGTTTGCTCTGTGTACCTTACGGATCCTTAGCAGCAAAACCAAATAGGTTTGTTCTAAAGAAGTTGAATGTTAAATCCTTAAAATGGCATTGGAAGAAAAGCTATGACAGGAAGAAAACTATTAATCAAGTGTAACTGTAGGGCAAGCCTGAGACTAAGCTTCCTTCTAAGGTAACACTTAGGATCTTTTAGGCCCTAGCAGACATTCAAGAGAATGACTCAGTAGTCCTTCACCTGCTGTGGAGATCCCTCTTAGAGTCATGGAACAGCCCAACTTGGAAGGGACCTTGGAAAATCATCTGGTCCAACCTTTCATGGGAAAGGGAGAATTGATGAGATTTGTCTAGTGCCCTAGTGCCCTTTCCAATTGCATCTTGGAGGTTGTTCCAGTTTATTCCTACTGTAAAAAATGTCTTTCCTATATTAAGATTTTTGTTGATACCTTAGAATTTACTGTCATTAGGTTTTTTGCTTATCAGGTCCATCGTCTTGCTTACTGTGGCATTTTTAAGATTGTTACAACATTCTTTATGCTTTACAACCATAATATTTTTGTCGCGGTAGGAACGGCCGTGCGACATAAAAAAGGTTCCAACAAAGTTTATTTCCAGGAAAAAGACAGCACACCGGGGCTGCTTAGCAGTCCCTTTAAGTACAGTTTTTGAACACACGTAATCCACACGGATAGGACAGTTCAAACTCACACAGCAGAATTCTTACAGCTAATAGGTGCATTTTCTAAACTCTACTTTCTCACAACAACTTTGCTCTTTCTCAAAACAGCCCTGTAAGGTTCCCACAACAGTCCCGAGCACCTGCTCTTATTTTTTTCTCATGTTGATGTTTTTCCCGACCACTCTCGTTCAAAACAGGTCTCTGTTCTCATGAGACAATGTTCCTGTTCTCACGGGACAGCTTCTTCAGGATGCATCAGTATATTGTCAGGATCAGGGCCTCAGTCCTCTCTTTCAGTCCATCTCAGGGGTACACTTTGATCTGGTCAACATCGACTGCTTCGTCGATAAGTGCCAGGCTGCTGACAGGTTCTCTGTCAACCCCCGACATATTTTTACAAGTTTTATTAATTTTGCATTCTATTTTATGGTTTCCATGGATAGTATGGATGTCATAATTATTTAGATCACAAACTGGATAGTTAGAATGTATTTCTTTTGTTAGTTTTAGGGGTCTTGATTAACACATTTACCCTAGAAGCTCTTTTTAATTTCCTCATAGGATTGGATTAGGCCTTATCCAGGCTTGCTTTGTGACTTCCTACTCTGTTTCTATTCTTGGGAGTTTTCTCAGCTTCTTTCTCCACCCCATCCCCTCCACAAATAGTCAGCTATGTAGCTTGCCTTATGTAATTCAAATTCCAAGTTTTGCATTTGCCTTTCTTTTGACATGTGCCTAGGAATTAGATACCCATGCTGTTTCTTAGATTTATCTTGAAATGCAGGCCAGTGGTTTACTTCACTGGTTACAACAAGATTTATCTCTCCCACAAATTGAGGCGCTTTGAAGCAGATGTACTCTTTCAAGAGCTGAGTGGAATTATTAATTTGCAATACAGAATTTTTATCCAGGAATGGGAATATGCAAAAGTAGGATGAAAAAAGCAAGTGTTGAGCATTTCAGAGGAGGACACCCAAAGGAAGGAAATACAGCTATGTCTCGTTGGCTGCTGCTCTAGTTCCAGCAGAGATAAGGAAGTTACATATTTTTGAAGGCAATGGGTAATAGTGCAGCAGCATCTGCAAAGAGCTGAAGTCAACAAGAAGATAATAAGGATGAAGTGCTGCATACTGAGCAATATACTTTTCAATCTAGTCAGTTTCATGCTATCTTTTCAAATGAGCAATGCCTATATATTCCAAATTGCCTACAGATTTTCAGAGCTGCTAAAAATGTCATATTCTACTGATCCTGTAGCCTGTAATCTTCAGACATGGGTTATGTGTTGGTAGGGTTCTCCACAGTGTTAGCTATTAAAATGTCTCTACCTGCTAACTTCTTTTCTTAATCTATCCTTTGACTTCTTGAATGTATTGTTTGATAAAGTTGTCAGACTTGCAAAAGCACTTTATCCAGAATTCTCTGAGGAAAGAATTCTGATTTCCTTCTGAAGTGTAAAATGAAGTACTGTCGAGCAAAGATTAGTGACTTCTTATAAAACATCTTTCACTACAGAAAATCTTCTCCCTATGCTAATTTATTTAGTTGTGATGCAATATAAGAAACAACTGCATAGTAAAAGTGTATTCTAAAAGTGGTTTTGAAGTTAGCGGTGCGTGATCTGAACTGAACAAAGCAGTGCCAGAACCGAACAATTTTGGGGATTTAGATTACAACACCAGAGTTTTGAGGAAAAATAAGACAACTAGAAAAGTCTTCTGTGGCATTGTTCACAGTATCTGTGGGAAAGTTGCTAACTTAAACAATCTGTGCTACAGTGATAAATGTTTTGTTAATAAAATATATCATGTCCATGTACTGTGACAGTGCTTTGAAAGAAGAGTATAAACATGTCTATTTTACAGCCTGTTTTTCAAAGATAAATAAATTTGCTATAGACAGGTACAGCTAGAGGTTTTCAAGGAGAACATTTATGAATTGCAAAGAGTTCAAAGAATAATCAGGGACTGGAAAATCCAACCAATACAATCTCTCATTAGTTTTATCAGAAAAAAAACACAACAACAAACACCTTAAATGTTTCTAAGTACTTTCTGGGAGATCAGAAAATTGTTAATAGGATGTTTTGGTATATTAGAATATTACAGGATTTGTGGCCAGTAGTTTAAACAGGACAAATTCAGGCTAAAAATAAACTTAGTATTAATTGTCAGAGTAGTTGACTACTGAAACAATTTAACCGAGGCAACATTGGCACTAGCAATTTTAGAGTAAAGATTGACCATTTTTCCAGAAGATATATTCTGCAATTCAGCAAGGACTTAAGGCATCTTGTGGCCTGTGTTACAGGAGAAGGTAGCAAGGAAGATCCTGAAGCAATCCTTCTAACGCTGTATGGCATGATTCTCTGAGCCCTTTTCCTGTTCAGCAGCCGACAGAGAGAAACTCAAGTGAGAATGGAAGTGGCTCCATGGAAGAGCCAAATTAGAAGAGGATAGTTTGAGTATAATGAACTGGATCCAGTGAGAATGGAATTCAAAAGGGAGAAAAAAAAAGGTAACCAGGAAATTACTGAGGATAGAGTAGGTATTATTGAAATGGGGAATATCATGGTCAAATAACCGGTCGTAAAACGGCTTAGCTGAGTATTTAAAATTGGATTATCGGGGGGTATTTTTGATAGTTAACTGATAAACACCTGAGTCTGAGCTGGGGACTCTCAGCTTCTGTAGCATCAAGAGGGAGAAATAAGCACTCCAAGGGTGAGATTCATCTGACTTAGTTAAGATGCCTGTTGTAGGACAAGATTATTGTCTGTAATGAGGTGGCTAATTCAGGTCCAGTTGTCTAAATACTAGGTGTCTCTGTTATGATAGCCAAATCCTTTTTCAGTGTTAGAAGATCAAAGGGAAAGACGGTGATGGACCAATGAAAGGGGACAAGGGCTAAGGGAAGAACATGAGGGACTTGTAAGAACTTAAAAGGCTAAGGTAAGGGAGAAAGGACTGTGCTTGTCATTCAGCATTGCTCTGTGCTCCTTAGGGAACCTGTACTCAGGGATGTAAATCTCATATTGATCCACAAAGGACTTTGTACCAAGAGGACTGTAGATCTGTACAGCCTTTATTGCACCTCCTACTCAGACATCAGGAATGCTGTATGGATATGAGAGCAGGATTAGGATTAACAAAGGAAGACGACAAATCAGAATCAAAGGATAAGGGTTCTGCACCCCATAATAGCTGAAGAGTGCCCTTAAGATAGCAGTGTGTCTTACAGTAACTCTGAGACTTCTCTAGCCTGAACCAGTCTTGCTCTTTTTTGGTGTACATCATTTGTTTGTCTTTGCTCTGTACCAGGAAAGATTGAGAAAACAGCATGGTACTAGGAGAAAGCAAAACTGAGGAAAGCAAAGGAGCTGGAGCACTGCTTTCCCCAGCCATCAGCTTGTTACAGGAATAGAACATTAGCTCACAGGAATTGAGCAGCCACCTGATTCTGGAAAGCTCCATGAGAAAATGCAAAAATTCCTTTCCTTCCTTCTCACTGAGCCTGGTTCCTGCTTATATTTTTAGTTATTCCCTTTTGAAAAAAGAAAGTGTAGTCTTCTAGCTGAATTTATTTACTTTCATTCTAAAGGAGATGTTGTTTGGCAATTTTATTTTTCAACAGGAAATGGCAAATGTGCTGATTTGTTTAATGAAGTTGAGATTCACTGCAGGAGTCCAAATTCCTTTTTCTTTTACTCTCTGTAGAACCAAATGTCTTATGAAGATAAAATCTCAGTAAAGATAAACCATGCAAGCAGATGTGACTGAAGGGCTGGGAATTTCTCTGCTTATGTGGTAAAAAAGGCCTCACAGAGTCAGTGGTACTTCATGCTGTTTAACAGTGGTATGGGGTCTTAATTTTTGATCTTGTGTCACATATTAGAAGAAAAAGTAGGAAGAGGAATCAGGATTTTTAAATAAAGCAATGTAATTTTATTTTTACTTGTGTGGGCTTTGAATGATGCACAAAATTAGTACTTGAGTGCACTTGCTGCTGTGACCAGCTTCATAGGCTTCATATTGACAACCCTTTATTCAGTGGTTTACAAGGAAGAATTCCTACCCCCTCCACCAAGCATTTCCACTATGGATTATCTCTATAAGAATGGGATTTCGAGTAGGTTAATGATTCTGTTTATTCCTGCAAAGATTGTAAAAAGGGAAAAAATATTTTTGTTGTTGCTGCTGCAGTAAATGGGGATAAAGGGATAGTTCTCCCTCAACTGGCACGAAAGGCAACTGACAAATATCTAATGCAAACCCAGCAAAAATACATCTCACCATAATGTCCTCAACACCTTCCAAACCCCCACCTCCAAAGTAATCTTTTGGTTAAGAAGAACAACAACTCAGAACAAAAGTAACACAAAGATTAAAGGTCCGATTTTACGAGTTTCATTTCTCCATGTTCAATAAATGCGCAGAGGAATAAATCATTATGCTTACTCTGAAAAAATGCTGTAATTTTTCACTTTGTGGCCCTTTAGCAAGCATTTTGTTTGAACTAACTGAAAGTGGAAAATATTAAAACTGGGACTGTATTTTGGTAGTACTTAATAACTCACTAAATAATTTCAATATCTAGATGAACTATTTTGAACCAAAGAAAATGCTTTTGATCCTGAAAGGGAACAAAGTTTTTTTCCACATGTGCTTTAACCAGTTTTCTAATTTTTAGAGAGTTGCTTTTGCTACATACCTGTGCCTGTTTTAACTCCTGTTGCTGTGTTATAATGATATCCCTGCCTGATATGGAACATTATTAGTCTGACGGAAATCCTCGTGTGCGTTCTTTCCAGATGGTAAGCTCAGGCTTTTGCTATCTGTAGAAAGTAAGTCCAAATACTGTACTCCGCTTCTTTTCTCACCAGAAGATTTTGAAGTTCTGGTTTCAGTCTCTCATGTCAGATCAGGATATGCAGCAAAAAAAAGGAGTCTCACATCTCTGTTGTGCTGTGTAGGATGAGGTGACGAAGAGGTACAAATAGAAGTGGGATATCTAGATATGTAAAGTAACACTATCTAGTGTGATGGAGAGGGCTGTCTTTTCTCCCTACTTTTTTTTTTCTAATTTTTGTGGCCTTCAAGTCAAAAGCCATTTCTAGGGAAAGAGGTAAAGGAGAGCAGCAGGGAGCCTTTATAGATGTTTCAGGTGCAACACAGGAGATGACAGAGTTTTCTTGAAAATGTAATGGTGGCAGAAGGTGAGACTTTGATAACCTATGAAAGAACTCGTAGGAACAATACTGGGCAGGAGGTGGTGAGGCTCAGGTAGACCACTGTTTTTGTGTGCTGCTTGCTGGCATGATGACATGAAAAGCTGTTTCTAAACCTAGTTGAGCTTATTTACAGACCTGCTGTAACTGAGTCCACCTTCCTCATGCAACCTGTGTCCTCACACATTGTTTTCTGGCTGTTCTCTTGTGTAGCACAGGATGATTGGACCTCTATGTGTTCATTTCTGGTAGTTTTTAGCTCTTCATTGCTAGTTACTTGTTTCTGGGTTTGGCTTTACATTCCTTTTAGTCACAATCTTTTCTTTGCTCTGAGTCATATCGGGTTGTTGCTGCCACCACTGCTTCCTGCCTCGTGTGCTGGGACTTTTCCTGTGAGCCAGGAAAGAAAGAGAAGACCTAGGAAAGTAGTGGGAAAATAGGAGGATAGGGAGGAAGGGGAAGCACATCTCACGTCATGTTTTTTCCTCACAGTGTACTGCCCTTCACAGTTTCTGTGCAATACAGCCTGCCTCTTGTGGGTTGTATTCCAGGGAAGGATTTTTCACGTGGTCTGTTAATAAACCCTCCATCGACTCATGAAAGTCTGTTGTAGCTCTCTAAACCTGGCAAAGTTGGGATTTTGTCATGGGTACAGTGGAGGACCTGCTGGCAACCAGCCCTGCACATGGCTGAGGCCAGGAGGGACAGTGGCAAGGGTCTGTTCCTGCCCGTGGCAGGAGGTGGAGGGGAATAGACTAAAACAGGCAAGGTCTGTGTCACACCAAGGGTTTTATGTTTTAATATTTATGGGAATTTCTGTTAGCCAAGCAAAACAAAACAAAAGGGAAACCAAAACAAATAATGAAGTGGTTTCAGTGGGTGTTGATCATCCCCTGATGTCAGCTGATGAAGAAAGCTGCAAAATCTGAGGGATGTGTGCTTGAGTTCTGTGTGTGCTGCACACATCTGTGTGCCCAATGTCATCTGAGATGTGCCTGACACTATATTGTCAGGCTATGGGGCAAAAAAGCCCCTGTGAAATATGAGTCCTTGGGGTAGGAGGGAATCTGAGGCAATTGACATAGAGATTGTAATATTTCTTTTCCTGCTGCAGGATATACAGCCTTAATTTTAGGCTCTCTTTTGTAGTTTAAGGCAATCAATATTAAAAGCTGACAATGAATGTACATTTATCTAGTGTAGAGGGCCAAGAATAATGCTAGATATGGTGGGAGTGCTCTATAGGGTTTTGGGAAAAGAAAGCCAAGTCAATATTCAGTGTACCTGAAAGGGAACACTTAATTATTTGGAACATTAAAGCAGACAGACAGAAGCATAAAATTCTGTGGCAACAAAATAGGAGAGCAATTCTGTGGAATTATGACTTCTGTGAGAGCTCCTCATGTGGGTTGGACTCTGACTCTTCTAGGGAAGAGGGTTTAGAAGCAAGCCTACATGCTTTGTTAGTGGTGTATGGGAAAAAAAAAGTTAATGGCTTACATCTTTCTGATAAAAATGATCAGTGTCCATTGGCAAGGGTTACATTAAGCAGATCCTGTGCAGATATTACACTACAAAAAATAAAATGATACTATCCCTTTTTGCTCTCTATGATTGCTCACTGATGTGTATACATATAGATCAGAGGCAGCATAGCTTCATGAGGGAAAAGTCCTGCTTGTCAAATCTAATTTCCTTTTATGACAAGGGAACTAATCTAGTTGATCAGGGGGAGCCAGTTGATGTAATCTTTTTGGATTTCAGTAAAGCTTTTGATACTGTCTCTCGCAGTATCCTTCTGGACAAGCTGTTTATCCAGCACACAGCTGGATAAACCTGCTTCCTGGGAAAAACCTGATACCCGGGAACAACCTGATACCCAGGAAAAACCTGCTTCCCTCTCCACAGGCTGCAGGTCTCTGGCAGGACCCTGCTCCATTTTGGGCCTCCCACGGAGTCACAGCCTCCTTCATGCATCCATCTGCTCCAGCATGGGCTCCTCCATGGGCTGCAGTTGGGTCTCTGCACCCCGATGGTCCTCCATGGGCTGCAGGGGCACAGCTGCTCCATGCGGTGGGTGAGCAATTGGGTCACGGGTTGAGCACAGAGGGTAATAGTGAATGAGGTAACACCAGACTGGCGACCTGTCACTAGTAGGGTTCACAGGACTATATCTTAGGCTCTGTGCTCTTCAACATCTTCATTAACAACTTGGATGCAGGACTGGAAGGGATACTAAGTTTGCCAATGATACAAAATTGGGAGGAGCTGTTGGCTCCCTCAAAGGCAGAGAGGCCCTGAAGAGAAACCTCAGCAAATTAGAGGACTGGACGATCACCAACTGTATGAAGTTTAACAAAGACAAGTGCCGGATTCTGCATCTGGGATGGGGCAACCCTGGATGTTCGTAGAGATGGGGGAATAAGATGCTGGAGAGCAGCACTACAGAAAGGGACCTGGGGGTCCTGGTCGATGGCAAGTTGAATATGAGTCAGCAGTGCTCTGGCAGCCAGGAGAACTAACTCTGTCCTGGAGGGCATCAGGAGAAGCATCGCCAGCTGGTGGAGGGAGGGGATTGTCCTGCTCTGCTGTACACTGGTGCAGCCTCACCTTGAGTGCTGTGTGCAGTTTTGGACACCACAGTGTAAAAAAGATTTAAAGGTTATTAGCATCCAAAGGAGATACAAAGATGGTGAAGGGCCTTGAGGGGAAGCCATATGAGGAGCGACTGAGGTAATTTGGCTTGTTTAGCCTGGAGAAGAGGAGACTGAAATGAGACCTGATCAGGGGAAGTGGAGGAGCAGGTGCCAATCTCTTCTCTGTGGTGACCAGTGAGAGGACCCAAAGGAATGTCATGAAGCTGAGTCAGGAGAGGCTTAGGTTAGATATGAGGAAAATGTTCTTCACCCAGAGGGTGGCTGGGTGCTGGAACAGGCTCCCTTGGGAAGTGGTCACAGCACCAAGGCTGCCAGAGTTCAAGACATGTTTGGACAATAATTCCAGGTGCATGGTGTCATTCTTGGGGTTGTCCTGTTGTAGTGGGTTGACCCTGGCCAGATGCCAGGTACCCACTAAAGCCACTCTCTCACTCCCCTCTGCAACTGGACAGAGGAGAGAAAAAACCCAACAGCTAAGGACTCATGAGTTGAGATAATAGCTGTGAGAGGTCACTTACTGATTACCTTCACAGGCAAAACAGACTCAAAATAGGGATAATATTTAAATTTATTACTAACAGGATAAGAGCAAAAGAGTGAGAAAAAAATAATCTTAAAAACATCGTCCCCCCACCCTTCCTTCCTTCCATGTTCTCCCTCCTTCCCCCCAGTGGTGCAGGGGGATGGGAATGGGCATTACGGTCAGTTGTTTCTGACACCGCTCAGGGAGAAGAGTCCTTCCCCTGCTCCCATGGGGTCCCTCCCACAGGAGACAGTCCTTGATGGACCTCTCCAGTGTGAGTCCATTCCTCGGGCAACAGTTCTTCACAACCTGCTGTCCCGTGGGTCACTCCTCCATGGGGTGCAGTTCTTCATGAATGAGCTGTACCAGCATGGGTCCCCCACAGGGGCCACAAGTCCTACCTGGGAAAAACCTGCTTCCCTCTCCACAGGCTGCAGGTCTCTGGCAGGACCCTGCACCATCTTGGGCCTCCCACAGAGTCACAGCCTCCTTCAGGTATACACCTGCTCCAGCATGGGCTCCTCCGTGGGCTGCAGGTGAGTCTCTGCACCCCGATGGTCCTCCATGGGCTGCAGGGGCACAGCTGCTCCATCATGGTCTGCACCACGGGCTGCAGGGGCCTCAGCTCTGGTGTCTGGAGCATCTCCTCCCCCTCCTTCTGCACTGACCTTGGTGTCTACCTTATTGTTCCCATGTTCTCATTCCACTCTTTCCTGGCTGGAAATTTTCACCTGCGCAACAATCTTCTATTCTTAAATATGTTATCACAGAGGTGTTACTATCACTCCCGATGGGCTTGGCCTTGGCCAGTGGCAGGAAGCCCGACCTGGAGCCACCTGGCATTGGCTCCGCCAGCGAGGGAAGCTTCTAGCAGCTTCTAAGAGAAGCCACTCCTGTAGCCCCCCTGCTACCAAAACCCAGCCACAGAAACCCACTGGACTTCAATGATCCTTGTGGGTCCCTTCCCATCTTAGGATATTTCATAATTCTAATAAAAAACCATGAAAGATATGCAGAGATTTTTATATATTTTAGTTTATATTATAAAGAACATAGTTAACGCTGCTGATGCTTTTGAGAAAGCACGCAGGATCACCCTTGAGGAGAAAAGACAACGCAGAAAGAATCGTGCCTTGCAGAATATACCACCTAAGGAGTCTTTCTGCTGTGCCTTTTGCAACCGGACATGTCTATCTCATATTGGCCTTTTTAGCCACCAGTGCTCTTGCAACAAATGTGGGTAGAGCCCTTCCCAAATCTTCGTTCGCGAAGCCTAGCCTGATAAAGAACACAGAATCATAGAATGGTTTGGATTGGAAGGGACCTTAAAGATCATCTAGTTCCAATCCCTCTGCTGTGGGCAGGGATACCTTCCACTAGATGAGGTTGCTCAGAGCCCTTGAACTCTTCCAGGATGGGACATCCACCACTTCTCTGGGCAACCTGTTGCAGTGTCTCACTACCCTCATGGTAAAGAATTTATTCCTCATATTTAATCTAAACTTTTCCTCTTTCAGTTTGAAGGCATTACCCCTTGTCCTGTAACTTCATGCCTTTGTAAAAAGTTCCTCTCCAGCTTTCTGGTAGGACCTTTGGGTACGGGAAGGCCACAATGAGGTCTCCCCAAAGTCTTCTCTTCTGCAGGCTGAACAATCCCAACTCTCTCAGCCTAGATACCATCTAACAACAACAGGGATGTTTCAGTGTAGTTGTTTTGAAAGACAGAACCAGTTTAGAAACCAGAGAATTACTGTCAATGTAGAACTTCGTTTATTTCAGTCAATTTACAGGCAGTATCTACTATTTGAGTAGATTTAACTTTAAGGTTCTATAGGTAATACAAATGTAAATATGATGTAAAACTTTCTTTGCCTAGAAGTCATGTATTCCCCGATGGAAAGACTCAGGACTTCAGGCGTATGGAGTGTGACAGTAATTTATCTGTCCTTTTCCGTTTAGCATTAGGAAATAGCTGAAATAAAGAATTGTGTGATCCTTTGTGATGCTCCTTGACCACTGCGGTGCACTAGATGGCACTGTTGGTTTTAGTTTTACTGCTACCTTCCTCTTCTAGGGAACTTGTCTTAATTAGCTTCCTTTTGAAAACAAACATGCTGTTTCAACAAAGGGTCAGTGTACATTGTTCTGGGCTGCTGCT